TTTGCTTCAGCGAAAGGCGGAAAATCAAACATGCACGCGAGCTGTGGAGCAAAAGGGACCACCCCTGGGAAAAAAGATGCGGCGGCGGGCGCGGGATTTGGTGGCGGATTAGAGGCCAAATCGCCGCTCGTCGCGCGCGCAGATAAAATATGTTTTGCAGAATTTCATGAGCTCTCTCAATAAACACTCACTGTTGTAATATGCGCACATAGGGGGGTGAGATGCATATCGAGGGGTTGCGCTACTGTGCTGGCGCGTGGCCGACGTGCTGCTTATTTTAATTCGGCGCGCGATAAAATAGAAAAGGCCGAAGAGAAAACGCGACAAATCGCCCTCGACAGGGGAGATTTATTAGCGGAATTAGTCGCGCTCTTTGCGCTTTATCATCTCATCCAAATTCGATTTCGAAATAAGTAACACACCAACTAAATAAGCTTTTCCACTCCTTCCTCCCCTGGTTTGCATGGGGCTTGTGTATATATTATTATATGCATCAAAGGGGGCTGAGAATATAAGTCGATTTGGTGTGTTCATGTTTATATTGATGTTTATTTATTAGTTAATTATAATCTGGAATGATATTGATACATTCATTTTTTTGGAAACAATTTTACATTTTCATACTGATGAAAATTCCATATTTTGTGGGACACTAAAATTCATAATATAAAATTAATTCTATTCTTTAGCTACAAGCATGAAATGTAAATAATACTCATATGAACTCTCCTAAAGTAATTTAAATGTATAAAAAAAAACAACAATAGAACGCACTGTGTTTATGGTTATGGATAACACTTTTTGCATGAATACCTTCTTTAAAAAATTCTTTAAATTTGTTCGATTATTGGAAATTTAAATAGAGAAGAGCTAGGTAAATAATTAAATATTTATTAACTATTTGATTAATTAATCAATGCTCTAGCCAAGAAATTTTGGCCCATAGTGGAAATTTTAATTCTTTTGAAATAGTTCTTTGCAAATGATTTGAAACTCTAAATTACAAAACTGCACACAAAAGTTAAATTCAAAGTTTCTATCAAACTTCAAAATCTAAAGGATTGTTTTTATAAAAAACTTAATTATTCATTTTCATTTTTAAGCTTTCCTTATTAAATTTTGATTGATTTTTTCAAATTAAATGCGTGATCTAAAAGATGCAATATGACCATACGTTAACGCGGTTCTTCCTTTGTAATTTATAACTCTAGTTCCCCCTTATATTATTTATAAGCTCAGGTACATGTGAAATAACTAACCCCACTTGAATGAAAATAAAAAGTCATCACACAAACACAAATTTGCCAATTCACGATGTAATTTCAGAGGCAGGAAGTGAATCCTCTCCGCTGCAGCTCTTTCAAGAGTCGAATCAGCTCTTTTTCCATAAAAATATTATATATCTGATTGAAGGGTTCTCCATTACGGCACGCTTTTTCCCTCGCTCTCGATTATTCATCGAAGCTTTTTCCCCAAAAGAGCTGCCGAGGAGAGATCAATCACGACGGGGCAAATATTTTTCTGTTTGCGCTCCGCACTCGGGAGAGATAAATTTACCTGCCGGCGCACGTGTCCTTTTGACAATCGGAACCGCACTTAAACAGCAATCGAACCAAGAAGAAGGAGGGTCGCTTCGGACAAATGGGCCCGAAATCGGACACCTAGCTCGGAACGGCCGGGAGTGCAGGAAATGATGCTGGAGATAAATAAATCCACCTCTCTCTCTTTCCTCTCCATTGTGCTCCTCTTTATTTCATTTGGGCGATAACACCGCAGCTCTCGGAGAAAAGTTAAGTTGACGTGCGTAAAAGCAGAGGACAAAAGAATTCACGACTTTTGTGTGTGTTGAAAATGCGCAATTTATCTTTTCATCTCGAGAGAGGAAAACAAAATGTCTTCAGTTATGTTAAATATAAGCTGACGAAAGAAAGATGTTTCTTCTCATTTTTGTGCAGGGGTCGCCGTTATTTTCTTTGAATTAACTTACTACATAAAATACAAATTCCCCTAAAATTCTATTTGTCCTAAAGAGTTTTCAAAACATCATGATACAAAGATTTGTGCATGAAATAAACTAAGTGACTTTTTAGACTTCAGAAGCATCATGACATTCTCATTTCTAAATATTAAAATTTATCCTAAAAACATAAGGATAAAACATGTCGAATTGTAAAGGCAAAGAAAATAGTAAAAACCAATTATAGCTTAATTTTCACGTCATTTTCAATGAAAATCAACCGTTATATAAATAGCCTCTCTCTTACTCCTATAATGTGAAACATTCAAAAATAATTTAAAAAAAGATTATCTTGTGCATCAACTTAAGTAGAACCACAGCAATCTAATTCTTATACAGTTATACACACTAAACAAATTTGAATTGTTGCAAAAGATTTAAAAAAAACATCATCCCCTCGCTTTTATATGTCAAGTTATATGAGCCAAAATTTGTGTGACACAAAATGTACTTTTTATTTGTAAAAGAAATTAAGGGAATTAAGGGTCTCCTTCATTTTTCATGCAATAAATTATTAAACAAAGCGAGTTGCGGCGGGGAACAAGTTTCTCTCTGATTCACTCTCGGAGCCAATTAGCGGCTGGGAAACAAGTGTTTCTTTCTTTCTTTATTTTTTCCAAGAGAAACCAGAGTGAGACAAAGCCGCAGTAGTGTGTGTCTTATAATTTTAACGAGAGTTGACCTCAGAAAGGGTGCCTCTTCTGCTCAGACGACCTTCGACCCGAACGCAGCAGCTGCAAACGAGAGAGACCCCTTCTTTATTATTTCTTCGCCGCAAAGGGTTTTTTATTTTTTGTTGCTGCAGATAACGAGAGCAAAAGAGGATGCTGCGCTGCATCTCTCTTATAGTGACCCTCGGTGGCGACCCCTGCTAGCTCGAAAGGAAAAAATAATTACAAGAGCGATAAAACAACAAGTGCGTGCATAGTGGAGCTCGCTCAAGTCACTCTCCGATTGATTGATATTTATTCGTCTCTCGTCGTTTTTATCAATTATAAAACCCAACGTCCGTTCATCTTTTGCGTCACATTTAATATTTTGTTCCATTTTGTGCTGCCGGGGCGAAAATTAAATATGACAACATGTCCATTTGAATTTGCGCTGAAAACGCCAAATTGTTATGCGCTAATTAAATTTGATTGACGCGAGTTCTGATTAAAATAAATAATATCGCAAGGGAGAGAGAGAGTCGATTCGCAACCGCCAGCAATAAAATCAGTTTCTATACTCGTCGTCGAGATTAATTTTTATTGCTTTTTAATCTTGTTGCGATGACCGCGCGAGCATAAAGGCCAAGATGAAATGATATATATTGAAATATATTGACGACAAGTGTGGAAAAACACGTGACACAATTTGCTTCGGTTACAATATCAAAAGTGATCTTTTTACATTGAAGAAATAATTAAGTTTAATGTTAACTATTATTATTAACTATGATTTGAGATTAAAAAACGGAATTTCTCTATAAAATAAACATTTTTTTGTTAAACTCAGAAGAAAATGTTTTTGCTGTTTAATTCAAAGTAACTGTTGTAAAATTTAATTTAGATAATTATTATTAATATGGAAAATATAAAAGGCGTTATTATTTTTTTTTTTTAATTTCAAAATTTAATGAACATGAAATTTTTATTGAGATATAACTTATATAAGCTTACAAGTTATAAGTCATTATAAGTTATTTATCAGAAGTGTCAGCGTAATGTTAATGCAAAGCAACAAGAAAGATAAACATTTTAAAAATTTTAATTTTAAAAATATTTTTTTAATTAATAAATATGTGTTTTTTTTAAGTATTATTAACATTTTTTATGTTAATTGTAAGTATTATTTTGCGCTTATTATAAATAATAGACATAAATATTTTCAACTAAAAAATGAAGACTTTAGAATATACTTTATTTGCTTTATTTATCTTAATTGAATGGAAAATTTTAAATTATTATAAATTCAAAAACTTAACAAATTGTAACAAATGTTAGTAGGGTTGAATTGTTTGGAGAAAAAATTCATCTGTACTGAAGTAAAATGTATTTTTCAGTGAATACGAAATCTTATTGAAAAACATGTTTTAAAATAGTCATATCTGAACAATTTTAATATTTAATAAGCTTAAAACTTGCGTCTTTGTGGTTGACCACTGCTTCACCAATGTAGAATTGTCGCTATCTATTTATTCACCACTAAAATTTCAAATTATAAATAATCAATCATTTTGTCATAATTAATGAACCCCTACCCAAATACGCTTATTAATAATATATAACCTATATACATCAGATGTAAATCACGATTCAATAAAAAAGTAATTTGGACCGCGGGCAAGAAGTCACGTGGCCAATTTGGTACGGTGTGCGCGCGTCTTGCGTCATTTCCCATGGCAGAAAAACTGTCGCGTCTCGTAGCGAATCGGGCTTATGGAAATTTCAGCGTGCAACAGTATAATAGAGGAACATATAAAGTGGTGGAAAATTGAAATTAGCGCCGGCCGGTCGGTTTGTGATGTGGGTTTTGATTCGTGGGAACGAACGAACGACTTCCGTCAAATTAGCATAAACAAAATTAATCGGCGTGTCCAATCGGCCCGAAATCAACTTTCTTTCTCACCAAAATCATTTTATTTTTGCGACGGAATGCACTTTATTTAAAAAGGAGAGTTTGTGTGTACAATATAAGGGACGGAAAACGGCGGGGGTTGAAGCTGCAGCGATAACTGGCTGTCTGTTTTTTCTCTCCCCGGCTAACTATAACTAAATTACATGGGGCTCTGTATATACATACGGACGTGGCATTATCACCCCCGTGCTGGTGGGTCTTTGCACCCCTAGCCAGCCGACAAGGCAATTACACCGACGACGACGTTGCAAAACACGCCGCAGCTTGAAAAGAGCCACAGTCGTAAAAATTATCACGCACCTCTCTCCATTATCTCTGCAAAATAAGGAATTGAGGGGAAATAAATGCTCTTTTAGCTGTTTAATAAAATTAACATTTATTAACTTCGCACATCTATTCATTTCATATATATTTAGATACATATTATTTACATAAAATGTTTTGATATCATCTGTAAACAAGTACAAAATTGGCGTCAGAGTGAATATACAAAAATTAATTAGAGGTTTGGAAAATTAACGCCACTGACCAGAGATTTTATTAATTTCGAGATTTACAGCAGATCACAGAGAATAATATTATACCTTAAAACGTATTTCACAAAAAAATCTGTACAGAACTAAGAGGTCTGGTAAAAGTCTTCGTCAATTAAAAAAAAAATGTATATGCACTGGAAAGCAAAAACCTTTTAAAGTGGAAAAATGAGTGTGTATTTAAAAGTCTTCAGGTACTAGTGAAAGAAAAAATTGCACCAAAGTAGAAAAGTTCTTGCGAGAAAAAATATTGCACTGAATTTAAGCAGAAAAACTTACAAATCAGAAAAAAATGCCCTCTGGTTCCTTAATTTTTTTTTTCAAATTTTTGATATGTTGGCAACACTGGAACACGGGCGCTCAGGGCGCGTCCTTGCACTCTAGTCTCGTCTTGGTGTCCACCCTGCACAGAAGACTCTCAATGCTGAAGGGGTTGCGCTTGGGTGGCGGAGGGGAGGTGGGGGTGGCCGCGCTCAGGTCGGTGGCCTGCGTCTGGTGCGGCTGGTGCTGCGTGGCCGGGCGGCGCCGCTGCGCCTCCCAGTCCCTGCGCAGTGCCTCGAGGTCAACCTGGATGCCCTTCAGGGCCAGTTTCTTCTGCTGCTTCTCCAGCGACTTGAGGATTTTCTTCTCGCGCCTCTCGCGCTCCTTGCGAACCAACTCGTCGGCCGGGATGGGCTCGCCGCTGCAGGTCTGCGGGTGAGCGTTGTGCGCCGGCCGACCTGGGCCTTTCTTTGTGTGCTCCTTCTTGCGCCACTTGGCACGACGGTTTTGGTACCAAACCTGTGGAAAAAATCGAAAATAAATTAAGATAAAAATGGATTTTCAGAAAATTAAAGAAATGGCAATAAAATTAGTTTGAAATTGTTTTTCAAATATTGTGTTTTTATTTTATTTATGATTAAATTTGTCAAAATTTACTAAAGAAAAATAAATGCCAGATTTTGACTTTTCTTATCACCATTGAAGACTTTATTGTATAAATCTCTGTCTAAACAAGTGATATCTGTTTTGTTTTGTTTCTTATTTTCCGTTCATATACATATTTGACAAGGAATAAAAATAAAATATTTTCTCATTCCCGAGTATTAATCAAATTCCAAAAATTGCTATAGAACCTTTGGTGACCTCTTGTGTCAAAGAATTAGTAAAAAAATAATTAAATTTATTATAGTTAGTATATAGTTGGATAAATATATGATTGTAAATTTGGTCTTCTGCTCTCAATTCTCAAACTTTTATCAAAAAAGTTAGAATAAAGAAAGGGATCATTCTTGCAACTCTTATTTTTGAGGGGGGGGGGGGGGAAATCCATAATCTCTGGATTTTTTTTATTTTAAATTTGAAACATCCTCAAACAACAGTAATAATTTAATAATTTTACACATTGTCAATCATCTCTGCGCGCACATTTTATTGCAAAATCAATTAACGTGAAAAATATTTTATAGTCCTTATTTAAATAAAAATATTAATTCAGGCAGAGTTTATAACATTAATTAAAATGGGCCTGTCTTTTTAAGATTAATTAACTTTTATTTACCCTAATTTGCTAGAGGGGATTTAAAAGGGAAAAGAAATTTATTTAAGGGAAATTTATAAATTTGCATTTTAACTCAATAAATTAATATTATATTGGTTTAAATTGAGCAAAAAATTTATTAAAAAATACCATATAGGTGTACAACGGCCGAAATTACTTTACATTTAAAAATACCGAAAAATACTAACTGTATTTAAATTTCTTAGCTTAATTTTATTCATAATTTAACCACAAAATCCATAATAAACATCTTAATCCTTGGTAAACATGCCACTGAATTTAAATTGCCATTTATTTTGAAATTTAATATAATTTTCAAACTTACAGTAATGGTACTTACAGCTATTCTGGATTCCTTGAGGTCGAGTCTCATGGCGAGGGCCTCTCGCATGAAGACGTCAGGGTAGTGGCTGGCCTGGAAGGCCCTTTCGAGTTCCTCCAGTTGCCAGCTGTTGAAGTTGGTGCGCGAGCGGCGCCTCTTGCTGGCCTCGTCGCAGTCACCTTTGGGTCAAACAAACCATAAGAACAGGGTCACTAATTTTCCTGTGAGGAAGGGTCGCACCATTGGAGGGGCTGCTGGGCCCGGGAGAGCAGCTGTCAGGGCGCGAGGTGCCCGGCGAGGGGCTACGCTCGCGGCTGAAGATGTTGGGGGGCGCCGAGGGCGGCATCGGAGGGTGCGGGGGCAGCCGGTAGGCCGGGTGCAGCAGGTGCGGCGGGAAGAGCAGGGGGTGCGGCGGTGCGACCCTGAGCAAAGGGTTGCACCGCACCCTGGCCAGCCAGTCGAGGGGGAGGCCTCCGCGGTAGTCCATCACCAGGGTCATCGAGCAACAGCGTCCGCTCGCCGTCAGCGAGCACGGCCGAATGTGCGGCGCCTCCGACTCGCGGTCGCGGCCTCCAGAGGCCGGCAACCGCGGGCCACGCCTCCGCCGCCCCTCGCCCAATCGTCGGCCGCCTCACAGAGCCGCCCCCGGCCTCGTTGCCAGGCAACCGCGGTCGCCGCCGCGATTTGCATTTCTCGCCGCGCTCTCTTTTAATTAGCAGCGCGCGCAACCCTTTCTTTTTCGCGACTCGCTTCCTCTTTTTTTCCTTTTATCTTGTGCTGTGCCAACTTTTTCCCTCTTGCACGTCGTTTGTTTCAATCGAAACCAATATTGGCAAACTTATCTCGCGTCGAGAATCTACACCCCGTCGAGTATAGTAGCGCTCCCAAAAGTTTCCTCTCAACCGCCAGAGTTTTCGCAGCCTTCTTTATTCAAAACAGTAGTGCACTTTTTTAAATTGGCTCATTAATTATTTCACAACCCCTTTCAATGCTCAATAAATATGTTAATCTCACATCATGCATAAGTTATATCTTCATCAAAGAAGGGATAAGTAATAAAATGCAATTTATTTAATATAATATTATTTTATTCTTCTTCACTTTTTGAACACTAACATAATTAATGAAATTTTTATGAGAACCTTAATTATTGTGGGTTTATATAGACAATAATATTTGCTATAGTCTTATTTCATTCAAAACATTTTATCGTTTTATTCATCAAATTATGCTAATCATGCTGGAAGCGAATATAATAAATATCAATTTATTATTTACTAAGTTACAAATAAAATAATTTCTAGATATTAAATATTTTTACTCCTACAATTAATTTGCAATTTTCTCAAATTATGTTGACTGGCACACATTTAATAAGGATATAGTAATAATCTTGATTATCTGATTATAGGAATAATTGAAAATTAGATTACTTGCCAGCTTACATAATTGAATTTTGATAAAAATGTTCAAATTGTTTCAATTAAAAAAGTGTTCAGAGATAACCAAACATAAAATCCTTCTCATTTTTTCTTCAAGATTAGCCAATTTTATAATTAAATGACCAGTTTTGTCTTTCGTCTTTAAAGGCAATTTAATGTGTATTCATATTTGCCTCACTTTTGATTTCACATTCCTATAATGCATTATCTCTCCATTTCATAATTTTTATGGAAGGAATCAGAAGGACTTATGACTTAAATTAAATACCTAAAAACCAAAACAATCAGTGACGAGAACTACACAACAAATTAATTGAAGTTAAGTATTGAATTAACGCCTTAAGTGCTTGTTTATTTGGTTTGTTTGCTCAGCCATATGGCATTTTATGATTTCCATTAGATAGATCTCTCTTTTTTTCTGGTGATGGATTTGACACTCGTTTATATTTATTTGCTCTATGGATACACATTTCTGCGTAAAGCACTCAAAATTGTCGAAACCCCCATCTGCCGTCATGTCAATTACTCGCCGATAAAGAGCAAGAGCGCAAACAATTTTCCTTCCACAACTCGATCAAAAAACATTTAGGCGCGGATTGATAAAAGGGCGCAAAGGGTTGCTGGGCAAACAGACACTCTTGCGCGGCGGCGGCGCAAAGTGACAGCAGCCAATCAATCAAAATGCGTGACAGTTGTATGAACCAGCGTCGCCAAACAAATAAACAGCACACAGGGAATACAACTAAAGAATATAACGATAAGATAAAACGCGTATATTTGCTCGTCCATTAGCGATAGATGTGCTTTTAATCCGCGCTGCTTGAGCTTTTTTTTACCGCTGATCCGGGTAAAAATTACGCTTCGTGCCATCTCGCGGTCAACGATGGCAGACAAAAAGACGATTTTTTTTAACTTTAACTGCGCCTCTGTACGGCAAGTTGGGGAACCTAAAAAACTATGCGGAAAGTATTTCATTCAAATTGTGCTCAAATCGTTCGCCTCTATTATTATTATTATTCATTCTTCTCGGTCAAATACAAAAAATTCTTAATTGGAAAATTTGTGCGATACAGTTTTTATTTTTCCTCCACAAACTGTATACAACAGTTTTTTAATTCCCACACTTTCCTTTCCAAATAATTATTTATATAGAAAGATTGCAAATTCTAACTATTATTTTTCCAACACTTTGGGGCTCACCGCTGTCCGAAATAAAAAATTCTGCTTTATTGGAGTATGCAACCTGTGCGGCTAGGGCGCTGCGACGGTTGCCTATGCCTCCTTTTTATTTTGTGATCCTTTGTTTCAGTCATTTTCTGCGCCGAAGAAAAATTATTTCAGATTCCTTTCTTCTATTATATTAATTAAACGTAAAATAAGCTATTTGTCTGAAAATTTCAATACTTATAAAATATAATTTCTATTTTTGTATTTTGCGATAACTTAAGCTCTAAAATGAAATAGTAAAAACGAAATTTCTCTCATTTAAAAGATGAAAAGTATTGATTTTATGTGAAATTAAATGCTGTATTATTGCTATGCGGTGTCCAGTGGAAATTCGGAAGAAACAAAATTTTAATAAATGGCATCAAAACTATAGCAGACACTTCCCAGACTGCAAAACGGAATCGATTTTTTTTGTAATTTCAATGTTAGTAAAATGAGGTATGACTTTAATCATACTGAAAGAAATGATGACGTTTTGCTGAAAAAGGCACTCTCAATATTTTTTTATTAGTACAGCCCTAATTTCTCTGATCCTTTGTACCTGGTGTTAATTATTACTGTTAAAACCGTTGGTCCAAATTATAAATAAATTTATGATAGCAACCAGTGAGGGAATCACTCAAAGAAGTGGAGTTGTATTGATTATAATTGTTAATTATTATATTATTATTTTTTTTTTATTGTTTTATCTTTTGTCCATAAAAATTTAACTTGAAACTCATCACTGAGTGGCCGACTTGACCATTTCCCTGATGGGTTTCCATCCTGTCATGACGAAGTGTCGCTGGAAGGATTCGGTGCGTCGCCACTTTTGATCCGTTCCGTGAAGCGCGTCCATTATTCCCAAGTTTCCGAAGCACTCCGAATTCCTGTAGAGTTTCAAATTAATGAAAACTTTAAATTTTCCTTATATCATCAAATTGTATTTAGCAAGCTGAAAAATTTCTCCAAAATAAATAAAATGAACTTGCTCTTTTTAAAAAGAATTAATTGAATTTAAAAAAGCATACGTCATGTGGTGGTAGTCGTGGAACTCTGGCGAGGGCAGCAGCGGCAGGTGGTAGCCCGAGTGCTTTGAAACGGGGAAGGCAGTGACCAGGACGAACCACATCCAGTGCACCAGGGGGTGCGAACCAAGGACCACCGGACCTAGGGACAAGGGCACTATGTTGCCAAAGAGGTGCTCCAGAGGGTGGCAGCTCAGGGTGATCATGGCGATGGGCGCCGTCCACTCATGGTGCTGTTTGTGGATGTGTTTGTAGATCCACCGGTGGTGCATCATCCTGAAATATGTGATGGAAGTTTTTAAATTTAATTTGAAACTTTTAAAGCAACAATTTTGTTAAAGGTTTGTTTAGTCCTTGAAATAGTAAAAAGTGCAATTTTTTGGTAGCGTAATTCACAAAAGTGGGCAAGATTGATAAAAAGTGCGGCGTTAGAAAAGTGTAAAAGACACTTATCTAGTGGGGCAAGCGCAATCAATAGATTTTAATTGGGGCAACTGAAAGAAAATCAAAAGAAAAAGAGGTTAAATGTCGGGTGGCCAATATTTTTTGTCATTCTTTCACATTAATAATTTTGATACACAATATCAATTATGACAATTATTATTATTAATTTTTATTCTTCTCGGTTAATACAAAAAAATTTCAAATATAAATATCAAAAAAATCAAAATAAAAAGCAAAATATTTTTATGTTAGTTCTTTTTTAACAGTAAAAAAAATTATATTAATATTTTGAAAATTACAGTATAAGAATTTTTTTTGTTAATTAAAGGAAACATAATAGGCCGTTTGACATAAAATTGATTGAAATTTAATTTAAAAATTAAATGTTGTATTTATCTTTGGTCTTACAATATTACAGAGTTTAGCACACAATTTATCCAAATTAAATTGTTTCAAAAATTATAATTAAGATATATTGATTACTTGTAGAACGATAATTTATTTAAAGGTTTTTTAATTTTATATTTATATTTAAATATTTTAAATTTTAGTTATTATTTATGATAATTTTTTTCAATTAAAAAAACAATATTATAAATATGCACATCAATGAGCTTTTGTTCAAATTACAATTTTTTTATATTTAATATAATTATTTTGAGAATGTTGTAAAATTGTTTATTTAGCAAAATCTTTTTAATATTAGTCATGAAAGCAGAAAGTAGAATTATCATTAAAATTTGAAACTATAAATTAAAAAATTATCAATTTTAATTACGTACCTGTGACTGTAGTAAAAAGTAATTTCTCTTATGGCCGTGTAGACGCCGAGCTGGAAGAAGACGGACACAATCGAGGGCAGTTGTCCACACTTGTCCAGTCCAATCCTTTCTTTGGTCCAGATGAACTCAAAGACGTCGTAGGCGAGCACCCCGTAAGGCGCCCCTACCAAAAGTTGGTTGAACAAGACCATCCCGAGCGAGTGCCAAAGGCGCTGCGTCGGCGGCGGCTCGTTCTTGCCCGGCTGCACTTTGTACCTGTGGAGGCAGCCGCTCAGGTCGCACGCCAGGTACACCAAAGCCACCACCCAGTAGGTGACGAAGGAAATTATTGACGGCATCAGGCCGTAGAGAATGTGCGGCTCGCGGCCGAACGCGTCCATCACACGGCCCCATTGTGTCTCCCAGTAATCTTCCGTCGGCGCCAACGCCCTGAAGGCAATGCAATTAATTCTTCGTTAGGAGAAAAGAATACCAAAAAATAATGCATCAAACGAATTTCGAAAGTTCCGTTGATGCAATCATAGCTCGCAACAGTATAGGCAGTAGGTCAGAGAGCATAGTAAAAACTCAAAATTTTAATTCCACCTTTTTTATGAAAATTACAATTTCATTTTTATGTTGACGTTTATAATTATAATAAAATTTAAAGTATTATGTAATTTAAAATATTATTTATAATGTTTTCTTTTCTATGCAAATAAATTGATTGAAGATATTAAAAAAAAAAAAATATTGACATTCTATAAGGAGACAAACATAGTCGTTTTTTGGAATCACGTGTATTTTTGCATTATTTCAATAATTTTAAGCCATGACTATAACCAATATGTTTCTTAAAAATATAATTTGAAAATTTCAGGAAGTTCAAATTTTTATATTTTATTTTATAAGCTCGTAATATTTTATGTTGAAAATATACATATTTTGGTAAAACAATCTTACTTGGCAGTGAGCAGGAGCATGATCAGCGGCACTACATATAAGAGAAGCTCAATGTAAACTGAAATAGTGAGCAGCAAGATGCCTCTTTTACCTGAAAAGTTGATTATTATTTTCCCATTTGTAATGAAATTATTTCATAAAAAAATTATACTGTTTGAACACTATTTTCAAAAAAAAATGCTGCAACAAATTGTTATCCTATTTTTTTTTATCTTTGATACCCAATTGCAATTTTTAACAACTTTTGAAGTGGTTGTGAGTAGCAATAATCAAAATTTATGATATATGATATAACATGTAACATTCATTTTTTGTAGTAAAAGATTATCGATTTTAATCTAAAAACTGTTTATAAAAAAAAACTTACTCAAGGAAGAGGCCATCGTGTTGTCTCGGTAGACGTTGCATGCGTTCTACCTGCGACTCCAGAACGTTCCTGCGATGATCACACTCTCCTTTTTTCAAAACCTCTATAGTAAAAAAATCAGCGCCAACGCTTGAAAATGCATGCGCGAGAAATAGAGAATCGATTTCTAAATAATTTTGGTGCTGGGCTGAAATTATCCAGAAGAGTGTGGTGTGGTAATTATGTAATTTCTAAACTTGGCTTGAGGAGAGTTTTTAGGAGAAGTCAAAATATTTTGACATCAAATTTTACCCTCTTAAATATTTTAACCGCATACAATTTTTCTAACAAAACTTTGAGACTTTTTATGTAATATAAAAAAATTTAATTGTGCAATTAACATATCCAGTAGTCCATTCACTCATAAAAGGACCCCATTACCAACTACTCTTTTCAAGTATTTTCAGCTTGATTTTAATAATTTGGTGTGTAACGATAATGTAAGAATATTAAATCTTTAAACTTTTTATTGAGAAAAAATAAATAGATTTTATTTTAAATAACTTTTTTAAACTGAGCATGAAACTATAATTGCGGCATTAATAAAAAATTAAAAAAATGTGAATTTCTTTTGTCCAAATTCTTTTTTCGCTCAGTTTCCCGTTTCTAAATTTAGTTCACGCATTTTTTTTTTTTAAATATTTGCAGGAAGCACTTCAATTGCACGTCAATATATTTCACGGATGAAGCAGGCGTTCCACGAATCCAAGAGAAATTAACACACACCGCAGTCCGCAATCAGCGATCTGTGTCAATCATCTTAAATTGAATACGGCAAATTTTTGTGGAAGCATTTTAAAGTCCACAATAAACAATAAGGAATGACTGCGAAAGTTTGAAGGCTGTAGTGGCTGTACCACATATATATAAAAGAAAGCAATAAATAGAAACTGCAAACTGCGCTGCAACGCACATAGGAGATGCTCAAGGATTTGGTCCTTGAAACCGCCAGGTGAGGTGTGTGACCCAAAATGAGCGCGTTCACTTTCAGCGCTCTACATAATAACTTCCTCAACCAAAGGCACTTATCATTTTCCTTCCAATAATCTTCAAACAGGCAAAGGTAGACGGAATCTAGTAGGACTTCCAGTGTTTTTATTCTCTTTCATTTCATCTGATCTCTTTAATTGATTTTTATTTGAGGGAAGTGATTAATAAAGCATCGATGATTTTATACATTTTTAAACATTTAACTTTTATTATAAACCTTTCAGTACGTTCATATTTGCATTTAAAATCCAACATTGAGGCAAACTCTGATTAACCAGTCAATGTTTGAATTCGGAGCCTCAAAACTGGCGCACTCGAAACAAGTAAGCATTTTATAGCACAAAGTCTCAACGTCTCACCACTGGTTTTGTAAAAATAAATAGAAGTATACCTAACATCATGTGGAACGGACATTTTGATGATGAATCTTTTTCACATTTCAGTAAAAATAAATGAAAAACTTGCAAGCAAAAATACAGGTAAGAATATAATCGTGGAATATTTATATTTATGGTAAATTTTCGCTAATAGCAAGAGGTATTTTTTGGCAAATAATACTCTATTATGATATTCTGATAGCAATTGAGTTGGAAAAGGAAAAATACGTACTTGCAATTTTTTAACTTAACCTAGCAAGTCTCTAATGGTCCCTTGAACGTTGTACAATAAGGGCAACGGCGCAAGGAGGAAAGTATAGATATATTTTTTTCTTCAATAATTTGATCTCTTTGATAAAAAAAATTCCATCTGCCAGTGGGTTCTGTTTTTGCTTTTCTTTCCGGACACAAGAATAAATTCTTTTGCAACAATAACAGAGCCCGAGCAGACAAGGCATCATCGAAACCAGCCTATTGGAAAAAATCCAGTTTCAATTCAAAAAGTCTTGACCCTGCATCAAGTGCACATTAAAAGATCAGCCAGCATTCTTCATATTGATCAAGTAGCGATAAAAACAACAAATCACAGGACGCTGTTTTAGTAAATAACTAGATAGCGCAACATTTGAATATATATTTCGTTGGTTTTCCTACAAAGCGTTTTTTAAATACTGATTCATACAGAATGGTTTAAAAAGCGAGAAAAAAGGAAAACGGAGGCAGTCTCTTCAGCGTTCTTTCACACACGCGCACTTGCTCTGGTTCAAAGTCTTGCAGGCACTTCAGTCTGTCTTATTCTTAGTGGACAACCACATTATCCGGGTTTGGCGACACATCGTCCTCACTGACGGACGACGACGACGAACTCGAAATCAGCTTCTCGTTCTGGTCGCCTCCGCCCTGAGTACTGCCTGCTTCCACTTCATGGCTGCGCCTGCGTTGAGGGATCAGTCCACCTTGAGAAGGAAAATTAAAGCAATTGATTAAAAGTTAAGTTGACAAAGAAAAATTTTTAGCATAAAAAGCTGAAACCTACAAAGCAGACAATTTTTGTAAGAAAGATGCAGTGTGAATGTGACAGAAATCTCATTCCTGGCAAAAAAATCTTTTGCTACTAATTGAAAGCGTGTGAGTCAGGAGGTGCCTTTAATTTTGGCAGTGAAGGCTTTGCAGAAATATATTTGAAGTTTAGATTTGAATCCCTACCTTCCCGTTTATTTGACAGAGGAGGGCTGCTCGGAGGGACGAGCAAACCATTATAAAATAATTTATTTTCATATAAAAAAACGCGAGAAATGATTTAAAGTCTCAAACAGCAGGGTTGAAAGTGGTCATTGACATCGTCCCTTTGCAGCCCCCCTCGTAGGGGCCGTGCGGGCTGTGCTGCACTCCTTCCGTCGGCAGACTCGAAACGTCGACTGTAGACGAGGTGTGAGAAGTGCTGGCTTCGGTGTTGCTCATCTCTAGTGCCCTTTTGCGCCGCACTTTCTCGCGGTTTACACTTGAGCCTATCGCAACACCAATCCGGTTAAAAAAAGAAGCACCGATCATCGGTCAAATGTAAGTTTCAGTTTGGCACACATTTTAGCGTTATTTACTTTTTTATTAGTTTGGACAGAAAGTTGAAATAAGGTGTGCACTTTTTTTGCCTGTGCCAAGAATTGGAAAGAGAATCAAGCTTTTTCCATCACAGATCCAATCCTTGTATAAAATTGAAACACAAAGTAGCTATTTTTCTTAGCCTTTAAAAACAAAGTAAATAAGAAAGCTTTCATTTTTTTAGCCCTTCTACTGCCAAATAATAATAAAAAAGTTCCAAAACGTCCAGGAATGTTAGTTACAAAAAATAAAAATCACACAAAATTAACATTGTCTGCCTTAAAATTAAAATGAAAACCATAACATAACCCACTGAGGGGAAAGAGAATTCTAAGGAATTTTTCTGCGCTTACCTTTAGCCATTGGTTGCAATTCAGAATAAACCAGGTCGGGACTGTTTTGGGTGATATTTATAGTGGCGGGAGAGTGTGAGAAAAAGTTAGCCGGATTGCTTTGACTCGGAATTTCATCGTCCAGGATGAAATCGTCGAGCAAATCCTCTATGGGAGCGCGTTTCGGCGCTATCACCACCCTTCGTTTGGGAGCAACCGAGATATTTCCGAGTTGGGATTTAGGAATAGGAGGGCCTGGTTTATTTGAATGCAAATTCAGCCACCAACCGACACCACACAACCAAAGCAGCACAAGAAAGAGAGAAAGAGAAACACTCGATCAGTTAAAATGTCTTTGCACCTCATGCCGGTTTAAAAGCGGTTGGTGTCCAGAGTTTGAGTGGCACAAATTTACAGGAAAGCGTCCAAAAATTAGGACTAACTGGACTGAGTGCTTGATTAGTTGAAATTATGTGGCAATATTTATTTGCATGTTTTGTGAGGGAGTTATGGGCACATTGTGCAGCAGTGTACCCTAGCTTTTGGATATTTATAAAATTTTCTCAACACTTACCCATATAGGAAAGCAAAACAGGCAGCAGGATGAGACCGTGGGCAGCTCCCACAAGCACAATACCCAGGTACATTCTAAAGTAGAACACCTGTGGGACAAAGTAATTTAGTTTTAATATAGAATTAAAAAATTCAAATACCTGGAAAATTTGGCTTTTGGCAAAGGCAAGCACAATAATGCCGCCAAATTTAGTAAGCGTAATGCCTGAAAAGACCGACGAGCCCATGTTCGTCAAGCAGTCAGCTGCTCGTCTCACTCTGTTTTCTTCCATTGAAACAGAGAAGGAATGTACAAGGTGGCTGCAGAACTCCACAGAGATTCCCAAAGCCTAAATGTAAAATAAAATGTGATTAATCCTTTCTCTCTTTTAAATATTAACTGTCCACTTACCATGACAAGATTGACGAGAGAAACTGCATTCAGGGAAATTCCCCACCAGTACATGACACCACCAAGGTTGGTGACAATCATTACAATGGTGATGAGTACTACTAGGGAACTGAAGACATCCAGACCCATCAGCAGGAAAGTGACGATGAAAATAGCACCGACTGAAATTCCAAGAGACCTCAATGTGTCCGGCCACATTGTCAAGTACTGCTCGTAGAAGACGTAGAAAATGCTAAACAAAAATGATACATTAAAAATCTTTATTCACAATTTGGGGATAATTCTACCTGTAGGGGAAAATTTGAATTTCACTGTTTCCAGTTTTGTCCCTGACCATGGCAGTTAGATTGTCACTGATCTTGCGAGCTTCTCTCAACGCAGAATAATAGTCCTCCGAGGTCTTGAGCACAGAGTGGTATGCCATGAAGTAGCTGGCACCAACAATTGCCTCTCCATTATTATCAACCTCGTAGTTGATTGCCTGTGGAAGAAATAAGTCAGTAAAAATAATTTAAAATAATAATTCACCAACCTGTCCATAGGCGGCATGACCTCCTTTGGCGCAGTCAATACTCGGATTGTCTTGTAGGAAGAAAGGAAGGTAGAAACTGAATGAAGGAGGTTCTGGACGGTTAGTTTGGTCCATCAGTGGAATGTTACAGGGCGAGCAGTCCGAGGGAGTGTCTTGGCTGGGGCAGAAGGTTTTGTTCTCATACTCCTGACAACAACCTGACGCTGCCGACCAATCAAAATAGTCGTCCAGCCAATTCGAAGGTGGACGTGCTATATACGAACTGAAGAGAAAATTTGATTAAAAATGTAAACAGAATCAGTGCTTTTTTATATACCTCTCTGGCCGTTTTGATGCTGAGTAAATCTGGGTCATCAATGAATCTGGATTGCAGTAGAGCCCTCCACAGAGAGCATTTTGAACTCCAGGTTTGCTGTAGTTCAGACCAGAAGTGGCCACAAAGTAAACTGGAGGCCCGATCGAGAGCGACCGCTTTAGTTCCTGCAATTAAAAGTTAGCGAATTGTTTTATCTTCTCTTTTAACTTAGTTACTTGAAAGTATTTGAGAACATAGGAGTCTTCAGGCATGGACAATTCCTGGTCAAGACCGACTTCGATGTGTGGCAGGACAGCAAGTGAGGAGCAAAGCCAAGCGTAAAAGACAACAGTCACAACTGCTCGAACTTTCTTTTTCATCAAAAACGGCACGTACAGTTCCTTAAAAAATTATTCATTTTTAATATTTCCTTTATCAAAATAAAAATACCATTTAGCTACCTTGAACATTTTATACAGAATTCCATCAGAGACCACACCGTCGTCTTTCTTAGAGGCAGTTTTGAAGCAGAAGACGTCCAGTCGATTTGCCTAAAGGTGGGGGATTTGGGTCATAAAAATGAAGCAAATAGGCTGATCAATAAAATTTACCCTCTGCCTCTCCATGTCAAGAGTCAAGAGACTGACAAAACAGGTGATTTGGAACAGGAAATCCAGGAGCAAGGCCATACCAGCATACAATGCAAAGGCGCGCACAGCCGGCATATCTGACAGAGCACCTGCAATTCATTCGTCACTATTGTGAAATCCAATAAATAAATTTGAGAACAAACCTAAAAAGAAGCAGGTGGCTTCAGAAGCACTGGTAAGAAGCATGGACGGTCCAACTCGGCCGAGTGATCTGCTGACAATTTCAGCCACTGGCTCCACAGATCTGCGGTTTGCATCTCCCTTCGGAATCATTTCCCGCTGAGTGCTTTGAACCAGGATAAAAATGTTGTCAACTCCGACAGCAAGCACCAAGAAAGGAATGACTTCAATGATGATCAACGTGGCAGGCACACCTATGTAGCCAAATATTCCCACCGAGCACGCAACTGAGGCAAGCACAATAATCACTCCCCCAAGGCCAAGGGTTACTTTTGAATCAACCTAAAACGTTACTGGTCAAGAACTCATCTCAAATTATTCAATTAATGAAGTACCAGGAGTCTGTCACATGTTTTCATTTGACCCAGAGCCAGGGCAATGTACATAAACATTATGACATAGGACACAATGATGGTGCTGATGTCTGACTTTGATCCTCTCTCGAGCTCATCTTCAATGGACCTTTCTGAAGTGTACGCAACATCGACCCACTTGGGGGCAGTTGCTGTCCAGTTCTTCATGAACTCGACATAGGTTGTCTCCCAAGTCTTTGCTGGTCCAAGTTTAGTCTTGTTGTGATGGTTGTTGACAAGGAAGGTGATTATCAAGGCCTGAGAAGTCTCATATTTTGGAGTGCCTCCTTCTGGAGTTTCAAAACCACCAAGGGCAATGGCAGGCTCAATGGGACCACCATACTTGGCAAGGCAATTTGGATCGTATGGATTTCTAAGAACATTTTGTTTTCATGTGACAAAAAACCAAAAATTGAAAGCTTACTGGGTGCATTTCAGCAAATAGTCCAAATAGTTGACCTCGTAAACCTTGCCTCCCTCTTCATCTTCACTTGTCGAGTTGAAATTGTCAAAGTCATCTTGCCAAATTCCCCAGATGTTCTGGATAAGGCACTGATCTCGCTCTGTTGGCTTGTTGGCAGTGGACAGAGGAGCAAAGCATATGTGCTCCAATCCCTCGCCTGTACTTTCACCAAGCTAGAGAAAAAGCATTTCATAAAAACTCTAGATTTAAAAGGAAAATAATAACTCACTTCAAGAATCTTGTTTTGCAAATCTAAAGCTAGGAGCATAAAGTCTTGGTTGAAAACAGGCCCAAAAGTTATAGGTCCATTGGCGGTTTCATGTACAATCTTGTTCAAACCAACCGGTCTCATAATAATCTGCTCAGTTCTATAGAAAGGCTCAAAATGAGAATCGAAGAACTCCCTTTCGATCCTGGATCTGCTCTCAGGGGCAGCCCACAGCTCGACAGGGTCAGTTGTTACATTGATGAACTTGATTCCGTAACTCAGGCCAACGATCATGGTAATCCCGAGCAGGAGAACAAACCATGGGTGCCTTGAACAATCTAGAAAAAAATCCTCAGTAATCATCTAGTTTACATTGAGTAATCTTACATCTGCCCCAAGCGACAAATCCTTTTTCCAAAAGCCTGTCAGTCATGGCGCCCAAACGCTCCATAATTGAGGGATTCCTGATAACTGCGTTGTTCGGCAGAGTATCTGTGTTTGCAAAGCCTGAAATGAGTGGCATCAATTAATAAAATTATAAAACTATCAAATTGAACACCAATAAAATTAACAACATCAACTAAATAAGCCTAAATCTTGCTTTTGTAACTAAAATCTGTGCTTTGTAATAAGTCTAAGTGCACAACTGCGTGTAAATTAGGATTTTAATCTTGCAAAAGTATGCACAGATTTTGATTCATTTGAAAAAAGCAAGACACAAGCAATGCCGGGATTCAAGTCAGCTTTCTTTGCTGAAGATTTGTATAGGAATAGGCAAACAAGGCCACAACATCGATAGCAGACGACGAACAAGGATTGCACATCCACAACCAGTGCTAGCTAAAGGTACATCAAATAAATTAGCTTCTGGGCACATACTGGATCTGGTTGACTGCAAAGGACTTGTCTCCTCATCTGCAGCCATTGCCATTCGCGCCGAAGTTAATCGTTCTACCGCCTGACACACCTCTTCTGCCCTCCTTGATCTGGGCACTGCAGCCACAAAATACATTAACATGCGTTTTAAAACACCTCTAGCCTCTGTTTATGCTACTTGTAAGTCTCAACGGATAATATTTCAGTAAAGATTTCATAAACAACTGAATCTATAAGGTATTAACTAAACACTGTATTTTTTAAAACAAAATTACCTGGAGAGTCAGAAGAACTTTTTCCAAGACAACACACAGACAGCAAGAAAATGGCTGTGCCAAGGACAAAGGTCAGGAAGACCCACCAGGTGATGGCACCCAATCCCAATAAGGTGAATGGTATTTCAGGAGGAGTTGGTGGCGGTGGTGCTGGACAACTTTGTTCGCAGTCGACGCAGCTGCAGGCAACAGAATCAGCCTGCAAATTCAGATATTTAGGTTACAAAGACGGTTCATTTGGAGAAGTTTAAAAAGACAAAAGGTTAGTGGGACTTACAACTTGGGTTAGTAACAAAAAGAATCTGCAAATTTTAAATTTTGAAAGTGTAGATACGTAGATAGTAACGGGGGAGAAGAACAAACACTCACATTGATCTTCTGGTTGCAAGGAACAACCAGAGGGTCCAAAGGCTTGATGTCATCGACTGCCTCTTCAGTGGGGACATAATTGATTTGGAAGGGAACATAAGGTCCAGAGACATCTCCCAAAAAGTCAAACCACCTAAAAGAAGAAAATAATGTAAAAAATCCAATGGCCAAATTAAAAGAAAAACAGACTTCTTATATGAGCATCGCGACGCACCCCAAGAGCCACACATCACATCTAAGGCAAGTTGTCCTGCCGAAGGAACATACACCTGTCTGCAGGAGTTGTAAGTGCCCTCCATGTAGTTGGTTGTGATGTGCAAATCAACTTCAGTGATGTACGTTACTAAAAGAGAATTAAAATCAATTATACCAATAAATTATTAATATTAATTTAAAGACATAAGAATGAGACTTTAGGCAATTTAATTAATTAAATTTCTTCTTGGGAGCTCAATGTAGGATTATATTTTTAATATTAATATTATTGATGGACATAAAAAAAAGTATCTAAGTTTAAGTAGGTCCTTACTTCCATTATCAGTAGCATTATTTTTGACAACCAGGAAATCAGACTGATTAGAGGCACAGGTCATGTCACAGAAATGCCTGACAAAATTCTGAAGGCAAGAAGGGCACCGCTTGATGAAGGTAGAAGCTATCTGTAGATTAGAGTCCAGACTTTTGATCTGCTTCACATCACAGCAAGTGTTGACTGCAAGCAATAAAAATAATGATTTGTAAATAAATTTAATTGAGAAAAAATCTTACTTGGAGTGTCGCCGTCTCCTGGGAACATGTGCGGACACCATTTCTTGAGGGCAGCTGCAGCTCCTTGGTCCTCCAAGGGCTTGGCGGGGCCTGTGTAGGGGCAGTTTTGGATCTTGCCAAGCGATTTGTGGCACTGTCCGTACCAGACGCAGTGACCAGCAGCTGGAGGTGGCGAAGACGTGGTTGCCGAGGAGCTCGGCACTGCCGATGAAGATACATTTTGACCCTGCGTTATCTGCAATCAAAAATTATAATAAAATTATTTTAAATAGAAAAAATACTATTTAAATATTAAAAAAAGTAGGGCGCATGGACTGAAAGATGAGGCAGATTTAGAAATCCCTGTTATAAAACAACAAAAATCCATATCCATTCTTATATAGATAATTTTTAAAAGCTTTTCGCATAATGAAATGGAGGTCAACTGAATTAATTATTTTTATTTTCAGCGATTGCAGAGCGAAATTTGTCAATTGTTTAGCAACAGGCGACATTCTGCGCACAATTTCTATGCTTCGTGTGTCTCAGCTAGAGAAAGTTTGCGAATTTCATAACGTTAACTGGGGGCAACGGCTCCTTCCTAAGTAAACACTCTCAAAGGAACGAGCCTCCAAAACGAGATTGGCCACTTAAATTAACGGCCAGAGAAAAAGGTCAAATTTTAAGAAGTTTTCAAGCGACAAATTTTCGTCTCGGCGCTAAATAGATCAAACGAGACGCGCAAGTTGGTTGACCCAGTTGGCCCGAAGACTTATTAAGGTTCGGGCGCGCGATTGTAAGGTTTTCGCAAAATGCAGCGGGAAGACTGTCGCGGCTGAATTAAAACGTATATGAAGTAAGTGGGCCACGCGACGGCACATTCGCACCCTCGGCCGCCTAATCTTGGGTGTAATCTTTTTTAGCTCTAAAATTTTGACAGCAGCGGAAACAACGTTTACGTTGACGACCGCTGGCGACCTGCCAAAAACGTGGAACCAAAAAATCTGCGGGAACAATGTGTTTGATGTCCTTCAGTCTAATTGAGATTTTCTTTTTAGATCCTCACTTTTTCAGCGTTTGTTTTTGAAACTGTCAAAAAAAAAGGATTTTAAAATTTAAAATATGTATTTACTTTATAATTATCAAAACTAAATTTCATATAAATAAGAGTTATTTTTATGATAAAATACAACTGCAAAGTAGAAAACGAGCGATTTTAAGTCAAATAATTTTTAAAAAAAGTCTAATAAAACTGCATTTCTAGTACTTCGAATTGTCTTAATAAATTCATTTTAATCAAGATATAACTCTCGATTTTAATATAGCTTCACATTTATTTGCATTTGCCGCAATATCAGAAACGATATTGCTCAACGAATATGAAAAGCTCCAGCAATATTCATCTGCAAGAGTGAAAAGCTCCATTAAAGAATAATGAACAGAGGAAACGTTTCCGAGGTCAAGGGGATGTTTGTTGGCGTCGTAGCGGCGCGCGGTGTCTTTTTAAAAGACACACCTTCCTGCTGATGGTGCCTCGGCGGCGACTTTGTTGTCTCAACGCGACCATCCATGGGAAAGTGTTGTTTTTTAATTACGTCACTGCTCTGACGAGTGGGCAAGAATCACCAGATCTTTGTAGAAACAATCGTGAGAATACGATCCAAGTTCTAAAATAAAACTGGACAATTGCGCGGTATTGATCGGTTTACTCTAAATTGATGTGTTTATTCATGTAATTTTATTTGTCAAACTCGACTTCCAGAACAATAATAGCAGCTTCTGCGTCATCGTATTTTTTATTCCGTTGATTTTGTTCTCGAGAAGAAACCAGCAGGTGCCTAAAAAAAATGAATCACGCGGCGTCCTTCCTGAATGCACGAACTATATAAATATTAAATGGGACTACACCAACACGATTGATCCAAAGGCGCGGAAAAAGGTAGGTGGCGTCATTCCCATGTTTACGTTTCGCCGCAAATATGAATAACGCGTATAAAATCAGTGTTGTGAAAAACGAAGTCATCCTTTAAATACGCAACAAAAACAGCAATGAAGAAATAAAAACCATTTCAAATATTTTCAGTAATATTTTTCGCATTTTAAATTTATTACTAATCTCCGATCTAGAATGAGGATCGGTCAATTTAAAGCAAACACCGGCTCATAAACTGCGTCGCACCGAGACTAGCTGAGCTACAAAAGACCTTGGATTTTACTGCCGTTCGCCGGCGATCATTGTCGGCGCCCTTATTGTACTTAGCTTGTCCGTCCAGCCAGAGTCACACGACATCCTTTGGACACGCAACTAGGAGGAAATAATCTGCTTTGTAATGCACGTGCATTAAAAGTTGTGAGAGGGGGCGGCGTAGACGTGACTGGGAATTTCATCTTTTATGTAACCAACTCTCAGTGTGCTACATTTTAGCAGAGTCACGTAAAACCCTGAAACTTCATTATTTGCTATTAAAAAATAAAAATATATTGACACTAATTTATATTTTAAAAGCAGAGTAAACAAATTTTCCATTAAAAACAAAAACACTACATGCACTCATCAATAACATATTTTTTTTTTTAACATCAAGAAAATATAATTGAGATAAAACTTCAATACGATTAAAGATTTGGAGAAAAACGTGAAAAGAAAATTTACAGAATATTGTTGAATCTGAATTTTAAAAAGGCTCTTTAATGGTATTTTCTATAAAGAAGCCATAAAACGTCTTATTTCAAAAACTTAACCCTGCATTATTTACTAAAAAGCTTATTTACTTTTTCTAATTTTTAAAATTTAAACGTTCAAAAGGAAAATTCATTATATTTATGGAGTTTGCTTTAGACAAAAGAGAAATTTGTGCAGGTCACGCATGATCTAGCGGCGATGCGGTTAAGATTTGTTTTCAGTGATTCACCAGGTTCTGCAATTTTCTTGCTTGCGCAAATCCCAGCCGAGTCGCGACGAGTTTCATTATCACCCCAGCCAACAGCCGAGAGATTACGCGGGAGGTTCACGTGGGTTGAGAATAGTGCACTTTTCTAATTCGCACAAAATACAATCATTTGCGGTGGAGAGTGTTTACCATTTTCAAGAACGCAGATTATGATTATGCAAATTCTCTTTGATGTTGTTCACAATGAAAATAATCCAGATCCCAACCACTTATGCGTCTTCCTTGAAAGTCGCGATGCCCTTTGGGAAAAACTGCGTGTCTGTTTTACTTAAATTTTTAGCTGAAAATTAGCGAAAAGCGACAAAGTGGGCGCTGCGTCAAAAGAAAAACCCCTAATGTGCTAAAATCAATAGTGGCGTGCAAAGTACAAACAGCAATTAACAAGGATGGGGATCCGCCCAAGACTGCAAATACGACCAACATAAAAATTTACACACACGAGCTATTTTTGATACACTGATAGTGCACCTCTCTCTCTCTCTCATTTAAGTCTCAAGGTCTCCACCCACATAGGAGATGAATGAGCAGGAAAATTTGGTCTTTGAAGTGGAGCACTAATGGAAACTTTTGACACTCGAAGTTATCTTGCGGAGGAAGTCGGACAGAGACAGAAGCTGAGTTACAAGGAAATGCGATAATGTGTGACTCATAGGTCGATCCAGTTCAACGCAGAGAATCAAATTTCATTGAAGTCTGCTGAATAGTTTCACGTTGTCATTTTTTAATTGGAATTGTTTGTAATTCAAATTTTTAACTAGACAACTACCGCTTAAATTTTGAAACCCAGGTATGTATAAAATTATTTTACAAAGCTGGAAAAATAAACCTTCTTTCGGAAAATTGCTTAGGGCGCTAGTGGCAGTCAAAAGGTGGTTCCCAGTTATACCTTATCCTAAATCCTTTCCTTTAAACCACTTGTATTCTCATTTTTAAATATATTCAATTGATGTAATAATTATGTTTAATGTGATTTTAAGATAATTAATTACCCGAATTACAATAACTTGTTTTTCTTTCTACTGCCAAACAATTCGGATTGAATAATAAACAGAACAATTCTGATCTTATGTCTGATGCGTTTGCGCAAGGAAGCCTCACAAAAAAAATTGCCGAATTTCCTCACAATGCTAGCAGTCGAACATGAGAAAAATTTCATTTTTTCCACGCTTGCGAAAACCAGAAGCCTTTGTCAAGTGGCAGACGTGCGCCTCTGCACACCTACAAGTGCCCCTGGCAATGTGCGAGAGCGGTCACATTTTTCCAGTTGGGTGTGTGTTAAGGGTTGCTTTTTCCCTTTGAGCACCCTGTGCACGAAAACACGCCAAACGACATCCTAATAATCCCTTGACGGCCAGGCTATTTTCAGAAACGGATATGTATGTTCTGTTGTGTTGTCAAGGGTGTGGCACGTGATTTCCCAATGAAAATTAAAGATCATTCTTGGGATATTCCTATATGACCGCAGAGAGGAAAAATTCATCGATTCCACTGTTTATCCGTCTCTCTGATCAATTATTGATTAGGAGAAGTGGGAAAATGACGAGTCTGAAGATTACATGCCTGTGGAATTAGACTGAATTTATAAACAATGAGAGAGTCCCCGCATTTGAAATTACAATCACATAAAATTGGATCATGATATTCAACGATAAATAAGAAATTTTGATTTGAAAGTTAAAATGTGCGAAGTTTACAACTATAATGTGAGTGAAGAGGAATTGAAAGAAAACAATGAATATAAACTGAGGACAATTTAAAAGTCAGGCTAAATTGCTGCTGAGCATTTGAATAATAGAGGTTATCACAGATTGAAACCGATTGTAACACACAATTAAAATTCATTATTACAACAATGCTAAATTATTATGCTTCCAGTAACCTCTATTTCAGTTTTTTTCCTCTAGCAATTAGAAAAATGACGTGGATTCAAAATCAGGAAATATATATGTACATATTGACGTTTATTTTTCAAATTATCGACTTGTGGGCATTGAAAGTTCGTTTGAATTATAATAACGAGCAATTTTTTGTTCAAAGACAATAAAGTTAAAAAAAACTACATTAATTAAGAGAAAAAATAATTTTATATTTTAATTTTAACAATTAAAATTTGGGTTTCTATTTATTTGTTTGAAAAGGAGTTTTTTTTCTACAACCTTTGAAGTCCTGACAGCCTTGAGAAAACACGAGAACCATGCATATGTGTCCATTAATTAACAATAACAAATTCATGGCAAAGGGCGCAGGTCACGCGACGAACCGCCCAATGGTCTCCCTAAGGGAAAATTAGTCGCGACCGCAGTGT